ATGAAGAAAATTAAATTTTGAGGACACAATGAGCTTTTCAAGGTGAAAGAAACCACCAGAGCTTAAACAAGCCTTTAAAGCTTATGACTTTTAAAAGATTAAACTGAACTCTGCAAGCCATTCATTTATTACTAGTATTGGTTGCTGAAGAATTCAGGTAAATTTTGTCACAAGAAAAATAAAGTTGGCTGAGAAATATCAACTGTGAGGTTCAGAAAGGAGAATAGTAACAATGGATAACATGGATTGGAAAGAAAAGGCTTTGCTAAGTCTTTTGTGTTTGTCCTAATTGGCTAGGAAGCAAGCAGAAAGGCAATACAGAATATGAGAGAGAAAAACATATTTGTTTTCTTTTTTTTGTTGGGGGTTGTCTTGGTTTGAAAGACAGGTGTCTGCCAAGAAAGGCAGAAACCTCTTTTTTAAATGGAGAAGGTAAACCCCCTCCCTCCAAATTATTATAATTTTGAAATTAAGGTGCTCTCAGGCAAAGATATGGGAATAGGAATAACAGTTCTTTACTAGGAAAATTAAAATAGAAATACAGTATTACAGAGAACAAACCCCAAAACCACTGACAGTCAAAATACAACCTGACCCCCCGTCAGTCAGGGTGTTGGTAGCAGTCCGTATAAATGGTGGCTGCAGTCCTCCTGGATGACGGATGTGGTTCAGTTGGAGCAGTGCTCCTGTAGAAGGTGCAGTTTTCCTCCGAAAGTCCAGTGATGATGAGGAAAGGTCCAGTTTTACCTTTGGAATCCAGTGGAAAAAGGCTGCCTTGGTCTTCCAGATCTCAGTTTTTATCTAAGTAGGAAAGGCTTGGCTCCTCCCCCTGGCTCCCAATCCCAATGGGATGATGTAATTTTATGAGTCATTCAGTGGGACTCAATGGCCCATTAACAGACGATATCTCCCTGAAGGAAGGATGGGTTGTGGAAAAGATAAAGATGACTGCCCCACCTGGTTTTAACAGATGGCCCATTAGCAGAGAATGTCTCCCGCAGAAATAAGGATCACTGCCCCATCTGGTTTCAACAGATGGTGGTAGAATACATACTTATGGTCATATCCTGTATTGCAACCTAAGACAGGGGTTTGCTTTGGTTTTGTTTTGATTTTTTTGAGCCTACCCAGAGAAAGGTAATTGTGCAATTAATTTTCATTTGTGTTATAAAGCTCTTTTGGTTTTATAGACTGCAAATAAAAGGCTGTAGAGATATTTATGCTCTTGGTATTTGCATGCAATGGGGCTGGCAATGACTATGTTCCTGGACAATATTTTAGCTCATAAAGTTTGCAGTATGCTGAGCTGACCAGCCACTGTACGTAATAATCAGCTAGGACTGACCATGGCATTTGGATCTGGAATCTGAATAGCCATGCAGGTGTTCAGAGACTTCTTTGATTAATTCCCTAATTAAACCTAGGTACTGCTTCCCAGTTCTGAAAGTAGTTCAGGGTTTCAGTTTTGAATTATTTGATTCCTCTTAAAGTTTAGGCTTATTCATTTTCTTATTTATACTTATCTCACCATTCACTGAGGAATACAGTGTGAAAACTGTGCACTAGTTCTGGTCTTCACTTATTTAAAACACAAGTTTTTGTAGTGGATCCAAAGAGCTCTTTCTGCGACGCAATGAGGTGAAGAGAGAAAACAACCATTTGGTGTGCAGCAGCAGTTTGGCCTTTGTTAACTTTTCATTTGTTTACCTCTTACCAAGGTTATGGGGAGGGATGTAGACAGAATAAACTTGCAAGCTTCAAAAACTATGTTAATATTCAAGAAGGAAACCCTTCTGTCACTAATGCCCAGGTTAATCCACTGTGAGGTAAAGTACTGAAAATACTAGTTGTAATCTTTAAATTTTTTTTTCTTTACCTGTAAATTAGACTCAAGACTGGAAGAAAGAAGCTTTTTTTGCCTACTCACTTCCCTAATGAGCAAGTTTCTGAATACACTGGATACAGAAGTTAAACTTCATGTACGTATGTATTAATTTCAAATCTCACAATAATCCTGATGCATAATTCTTCCTTGTTATTCCCGATACATGTTTCTAAAACCACCTTTGTGACAAAAAGAGATTAAGAGAAAGAATATAAACAAATTCTAAGATTTGTATCTAGCTTGGTACAAGACTAAATGAGGATGACAAGTGTCTTTATCCTACCTTTTTTTCCTTTATTTAATTTGATAGAGCAGTACCCACAGCACCCTGCTATACCTTAAACAGCCTCAGACCAAACCACAGAAAATACTCTGAATCCACTAAGCACCATATAGAAGTCTTCTGGCTAATCCACTTGCCATGAGAAACACATTACATGTTTTACCACATAATGTTATGTATATACTCCCCAGGTCTCACTTACTGGGGCCAGTTCTGTTTAATATCTTTAACAACAATCTGCACAAGATTATTTAGTGCACCCTTGGTGAGTTTGCAGAAGACACCAAGTTGGGTGGAAGTGTCAATCTGTTGGTGGGTAGGAAGGCTCTGCAGAGGAATTTGGACAGACTAATTGCATGAAGTTCTACAAAAAGTGCTGAGTCCTGCTCTTTGGTCACAACCACATGCACCATCACAGACTCAGACAAAAGTGGCTGGAAAACTGTGTAACAGAAAAAGGATCTGTTTGGCAGGCAGCTGAACATGAACTGTCAGTGTGCCCAGGTGTCCAAGAAGACCAATGACATCATGGTCTGTATCAGTAATAGTGTGGCCAGCAGGACCAGGGCAGTGATTGTCCCTCTTTACTCAAGGACTTACTAAGACTCTTGTGTTTAGTTCTGGCTCCTTACTACAAGCAAGGCACTGAGGCACTGGAACAAGTCCAGAGAAGGATAACACAGCTGGGGAGGGGTCTGGAGCACAAGTGGAGGACCAGCTAAGGGAGCTGGGGTTGTTTAGCATGGAGAAAAGCAGTCTGAGGGGAAACCTTATTGCATACTCCACAACCATTTCAAAGGAGGTTGTGAAGTGGTGGAGGTTGAGCTCCTCCCTGGCATAGTTAAGACAAGAGATTTACCAGGAGGTCTAGACTGGATATTAGGAAAAATTTCTTCACTGGAAGGGTTGTCAAATATTGGCACTGACTGCACAGGGAAGTGGATGAGTCACCATCCCCAGAGGTATTTAAAAGACATGTAGATGTGGCACCTGGGGACCTAGTTTAGGGGTGGACTTGGCAGTGATGTGTTAATGGCTGGACTTGATGAACTTCAGGGTCTTTTCCAACCTATTCTATGATTCTACCCTTAGGAATTTTATCCTGGAAATCTTACAAGGTCTTCTTGCCTAAGTAGCTTTGGCACTGCTAAAACTAGCCCTTATGATAAAATAGTTGCACTATTAGGAGGGCAAATTTTTTAAAAAGAGGTCTCCACAGTCAATTTTCTGTCTCATTGCTAACTCATTTAACTCCTACAACTGTGCTTCTTTCAGAAGTCCCCATTTTGATTGTATTTAGTATATCAACCAGAAATACACATGCTAAATGCTTCTGGTATGTGCAAGTTGAATTTTAATGAGATTTCAATGCCTCCAATCTTTAAGGATGATCCTGAAATAATCAGTGAATTTTTGATGCAGGACGTACCTGTGGGGTGGGCAAGGAAGGTCTTCCTTGGCCAAACCTGGCAGGTGGTGGAAAAGAGAGGATATTCCCTGTCACCCCCCACCTGGGACTGATGGCCTCAGGCTGGGCTAAAATGGGGTTTTGGGCCATGTACAAGTGTGGAGGGAGGCTTCAGCATAGCTGAGAAACAAATATTTCAAAAATACTGTAAATTCTTGTGCTGGTTATGCATTGAAGGCACCTGGGGGGAGGGTGCACTCAGAAGTTCTTCTCCATGAGAACTTCCTCTGCGAGTTGATGGAACCAACTGAAGGTGGGTTTGGTTGTTGACAAAACAACCAATTGAGAAAAGTTAGAGAAATCAGTTGGAAAAGTTAGTTCGCTCTGTGAATCACATTTTGAAGCAGGTAAACCCTGGGAATGCTCTCTTTCATTTCCGGCCTCTCACAAGGTAACACTGACTGGCCCGGGCCCCTTCCCATGCGGCCCAGGCCGGGCAGGGGTGGGCCCGGGAGCCGCCGCTGGGGCCCCGTTCTCAACCAGGCCAGGGGGAGGAAGGAGAGGCCCATTGCTGAGATCCTAGCCCTCCTTCCTCCCCCACGTGGCGCAGCTCGGCAGGGCCTTACCCCGATGCCGGCTCGGTGGGGAAGGCAGCTGGGCCCCTGTCTGGGAAGCTGGCATGTCCCGACAGGGAGGAGGGATGGCCATAGGCAGTGCATGCTGCGGCTGAGCCCCAGGGAGGCTGATTAAGATTCTAGCCATCCCTCCCCACCCTTTCAAGAGCAGCTGCTGCCATTTCTGTCTTGGGCCAGCCCTCCTGCAGCACAGCCTGAGTGTCCTGAGATCCTGGCACAGCTCCAGCATGGCCTGGACGCAGCCTCTGCATCCTCCATGTGAGATTTTAACCCTTCCAATGCTCACATAAGACTTGCAGAGCTTCAATCCTCCCTTGAATGAAAGGAAAAAGAGCAGAGAGGATACACTGAAGTCATTGAAGCAGGAGTCAAGTTCCAGATGGAAGGAGAATGAGGAGATACCATGAATTTAGGCTGAAAATCCTTTTGTAAGTTATAGGGATGGACTATACTACAGTAAAAAAATCCTGAAAAACCGTGAATAAAGACTTAGGGGGTCGGAGTGTTCAATTTGATAGATCATTGACCAAAAGCACCTGTGTGGAGAATCCTTTGCCCCGAGGGAAGAAGGGAATCTCTGTTCCTGAGGATGAGGCATGAACAGAGAGAAAGAGAGATAAAGAGAACTTTTGCTTTTGAACAGTTCATTCTTAAAAGTAAATACCCCACGAGTTTAACACGGCCCGTAAGCACAGCTTTGGGAAAGCTGTGAAGGTGGGAGGAGTTCATGGAAAGTGAAGCCACAAAAGAGCTGCTTTTTCCTCCTTGTGGAGAAGTCCTTATGGCCTGACAAGAGGAAACTCCTCTCCCTGAAGTGAACTGAAAAGGCTTAAGTTGGAAACTGACTGAAGTGTCTCTGTATGCTGTTGTTAAGAAGATGTGGGAGGGGGGAGGAGGGAATGGCCTGAAGATCTTATTCTGAATTTATTATTTTTTTTTGTGTTGTTAGTAAAGTTTTTTATACCCTTTTAAGTTTTAGGCCTGCCTTGCTTTTGCTCCTAATTCTATCTCACGACAGAAAATGACAATATTAAAATTGGCAAACCTAAACTATAACATTTATTGGTACATTGGCTGGGAAATCAAACTAAACCAAGACAATTCTAAAGTAGATTTACTCCTACTTGTGACTTGTTTGTTTAGTGCTCCAGGTCCTGATGAAGAAGCATATTCAAGTTTTTTTAACTTCTGTATGCAATTGAATTAAGGCAAAAATGCTTTGTTCCTTTATCTTAATGGGTGATTTCTTTGTTTGGTTTGATTTTCTTCTTTTTTTTTTTAACATAAGATACACTGCAGTGAGATGAAAACTAGCATCATAAATGTCACCATAGAAATGAAGTATGGATTACAATTCTAGGATATATTGGAAAATTGGATTATCCAGATTCTTTCCTGTAAGAGACAGACAATATTTATATTTTCAGACGTAACAGTAGTAAAAACTGTAGCTTAAATGAACACTGGACTTGGGCCTGTTAAAAAATCAGGGGGGAGGAGGAAATACTAAAACTAAAGGAATGTTTTTGTTCCTAGCTAAATTGCTATTAGAAAGCCAAACCCACAAGATTTAAGATTTTATCTTGTGTAGAGAAAGAGACACAGGCAGAATAATTTATCAAGCTAAGGTTCATATGGCTGTATAAAGTTGAAATCATAAATATATTTTGCTGACAAATAGCAACCTTAATTTTCTTTCCCCACTTTGTTTCTTAAAAGAGTAAAAATATGAACCTTCACACTGCACTCTAGACTGCTGCTTGTCATTGCACAGTAGTCTGTGATACAAAACAGTTGCAATAATAAATCATAAAATCTATCAACCCTTGGTAGGGAAAAAAAGCTAATGGATGCTGGACTGTTTTAGGAAATCTAAAAGAATATTGAATGAAACGTGGAAAAAAAACTTTCAAGAAAAGTAAGCTGCCACATTTTATTCAATTTATTAGGATATTGTTTGACATCAGAAGTACTCGGTTTTTAAATATTTGCTCATTTTTTAATGTCCAGTAAATTGATAAAATTGATTGATTGATTGATCATATATTATCTGGTTCTAATTTTCTTCTTTTCTTAGTTCAAGGTCACATTAGGACAGCAACCTTTCCTAAAGTACTGTTTCCATGGTATAGAGTGCATAAAATGAGTATTAGAATACATTCCAGACAGTGTACAGTAAAATATAATGACACTTTGCTTCCAAGAGGATGTTCACATATACAATTTAATAATATATACATATACAATTTACAGTGTTTCACAGTTGCATAGGAACTGTGAAGGATGGTTGTTATACATGTTTACTGCTGTGTGCAAAAGTTAGTTCACAGTGTGTTCAAATGAAAACATATGGACCAAGGTTTCTTCTGGATAACGTTAGAACAAAGTCTTTTATTCCATTTGACATGCAACATAGCTCATTCCTGTTGTTCAAGGACAGTTCTGAGGAAGTTTTTACACTTTAGTATAGAAAATGCTTGAAAGACTTTGCAGGGTACTTTATTTATCTTACTTCACTTTATATTAAAACTTCACTTTATATTAAAATTGCTGAAAAAATGAGACATCCATAACTGAAAATTGAATTCCTGCATTAAGAAGATATGTTTTTTTCTTCATGACAGTTTGTATTTTTCTTGGAAATATAAACCAATGCTTTGAATCTTCAGCCAGATGACCCATCAATTCCATAAAATTTAATACTATTTTATTTTATTTTTGGTATTCTAGTTTTTGGCAGATTGAAAATTAAATTGGAGGAGTTTGGAAGCCTATTTAAATATGTGATAAAACTTAAGAGAAAGGAGATCACATTTTTCCTCTTACAGTTAAAAAAATAGTTTATCATCAGACACTTTTGAAAGAAAATTGAAAGACTAAGATTTCTGAGATCCAATTGGTAAAACAAATTTAAATAGTCCACCAGTCATGATGCACTTGCCCTCAAATTAGAGAGTCCCCAACAGAGAGTCTCACAAACTGTGGGATTCTTCCTGTGTGTGAGTCAGCTACTACTGCCTTCCACACAACCACTGCCACAGGTGGTAAGGGTAGAGATGATGGAGCACAGAGAGGATGTGCATGAGAAGTGCAGGTTACAGAATAAAAATCTCGATGAAACTTTAGGAAATATTAACATATAGAAGAGTGCATTTAGAGCACAGTAAACTGGATTGGGGACAGACAATGCCAGAAACCTCACCCTCTAACACAATTAAAGAAAATATGCTTTGGATAAACCGGACATTCTAAATTACTGAAAGATGTTGCATTTAAAATCAAGTATTATTGCTTCATTGCCATTTATTATATTATTAGCATTCTGCCTCAATTTTCCTGAAGGAGGAATTAAAGCCAGAAAAGATGAAGAATAAATTCCTCATCTAGAGGAATTTGAGGGTATTGGAGAAGGGAAAATGATTCTGAAAGAAAAAAGAACTGTTTAAAAAATCCACAAGTTCATTACTAAAAAGGAGTGCTCTAATGACATAGCTAAAGAGATCAAGCACAAAAAGTTAGCTAGGTGTTCCTGTTGCCAGATGTTCAGTAGTAAGGCCGTCTGAATGTAACAGAATGAAAGAGATGAACCATTTCACTGTCTGACAGAGCTACAAATAGGATGAAGTGTGAACAGTACCACATCTTTTCCTTTACTCTGGAAATGTCAGACACTGCTAAGGTGTTGGCTAACAAAAGCACACTATATGGAGAACATGTGAGTTCACAGTGTTGCAGTGGGGAAGAAGCAAATGGAGGTACATGAGGAAGGGCAAAACCTTTTAGACCTTTCCTCAACCACCAGATCCAGACGCACTTCAGGGGAAGTACTTGTGGGTCTTCTCAGTTTCTTAAGAGATTCAGATTTGATAAACATGCCTGTTGTGATAAATGCTTGTAGAATTGGAAATTGGATTTAATCTTATTAGCCCAAAAATTAACATACTGTATGTTGTATTTGTATGATCAGGTTTTGGTAGAGAGGAGGCTGCAGGGGCAGCTTCTTTGAGAATCTTCCTGAAGCTTTCCCTATGTCTCAAAGGGCCAGTGCCAATTGTCATGAACATGGACCGACCACCGGCCAAGAATGAACCCATGAGCACCATGAGGTAATAGTATCAAACGGGGGAAAGCTCCGTGCATGTCAGGAACTGCAGCCAGAGAGGAGAGTGAAAATATGTGAGACAACTCTGCAGACACTCTCAGGTCAGGGAAGGAGGAGAGGGGAGAGGTGCTTGAGACCCTAGAACAGAATATCCCTGCCTGTGGTGAAGACCATGGTAAGGCTGCTCCCCTGCAACCATGGAGGTCCATGGTGGAGCAGAGATCCACCTGCAGCCCATGGAAGACCCCCCCAGCAGAGCAGGTGGGTACCCAAAGAAGGCGGTGACTCCGTGGGATGCCTGCACTGGAGCAGGCTCCTGGCAGGACCTGTGGTAGAGCAGAGCATGAAAAACTGTAACCCAAGGGAAGGGCTTGGTTGGAGTTTGTGCTAGACTGTCTCCCATAGGAAGGAACCCATGCTGGAGGGGAAGAATATGAGGAGTCCTTCATCTGAGAAGGGAGGAGAGGCAGAGACAACGTGTGAGTGACCACAGCCCCTGTTCCCTGCCTCACCAGGGGCTGCTGCAGGGGAGTGGGGAGAGAATTCAGGAGTGAAGCTGAGCCTGGGAGGATGGAGGAGTGAGAGAAACATGTTTCAAGTTTTGATTTTCTTTCTCACTACCTTCTCTTGTCCCAAAGGCAGGCTTGTTACCTGGTGGCAGTGCCAATTCACACACCCAGGCGAGGTGTTTCTATTTCTTACTGTAGTTCGTTCAAAGTAGGGAGCTATGTGGTAACTCAGAAAAGCATAGCTCTCCAATAATCAAAAATTTACGCTATTTTTACACTTATACGTGCAAATGTATACATTTATACAGGCAAATCAATCACGCGGGGCAAATACCTTGTTGCTGGGGGGACATGAAGGGCATTTGAGAGGGAGGTGGGTACTCCTTGTGTCGCTGAGGAACCATGAGGGTTCTATGAGAGGGAACCATGAGGGTTCTATGAGAGGCATTCGAGTACCTGGCATGTAACTGAGCGAGTGGCAGATGCCCTGTGTGCCACTGAGGGAACATGGGGATCACTGAGGAGGATGCCGGCAGCTTGGAGGTGTTTTTGAGGGAAAATCTGAGGTGAAGTCTAGAGGAGGAAATGGTTTTTGGGGAAAAGTCTGAGGTAATTTGTGGAGGACAGGCAGATAAAACTTTGGGATGGAAGCTGAGGTAATTTTTAAAGCAAGAAGGAACACTTTTGGTGATCAGATAATCTGCAGAAGACTGAACAAATGTAAAATCTGAAGTAATCTCAATTGAATGAACCATTTTGGAAGGAAAATCTAATGTAATCTGTAGGGGATATTTTGGAGGGGAGACTTGAAGTAGTTTAAAGGGGACAGAATTAACATTTTTGGGGGAAATCTTCCGAGGTAATTTAGATGAAAAAAAATCAGGATTTTTTGATGGGTGAATTTGGGGTAATTTAGAGAGAAAAAATGAGCATTTTTGAGGGAAATTNCTCAATTGAATGAAACATTTTGGAAGGAAAATCTAATGTAATCTCTTGGGGATGTTTTGGAGGGAAAATCTGAGGTAATCTATTTGGAGGTCAGAAGTCATGTTTTGGTCAGAAAACCTGAGGTAATTTAGATGAAAAAAAATCAGGATTTTTTGATGGGTGAATTTGGGGTAATTTAGAGAGAAAAAATGAGCATTTTTGAGGGAAATTCTGTTGTAACACAGAAGACAGAGGCAGCATCTTTGACAGAAAATTTGGGATATCTTAGAAGGGAGGTAGGAGAGATTTTGAGCTGAAAAGCTGGGTTTGGGTGAAAACTTGAAAATTTAGAAGGGTGCTGTCGCAGGCAGAGTGGGAGCTGCAGACAAAATCTGTTAGAAAAGCCCCGCTGCTAAATCATGAGGTGCAAAACCGAACCCCTTGCTTTCTAAACTCCTCAGAGAGGAACCTGGGTGTGGCTGAATCCAGTCTTAGCCCAAGACATTGTCAGAGCTTTATACCTAAAGGATTTTATAGGTGTAATTGGCCTTCTATAGGATTTTGTCCTTCAGGATAAAGGAATACAAACCAAATAAATTAATATCATTTATAAGATGTATTATAAAAATAAATAGGCAAAACTATCTTAAATAGATATATTTACTACACAGTATAGGGGCTATAAAAACTACTGTCATATAATGCACAGTTTTAAAGCAATATTCAAGTGATTGTATGAAAATTATTACAAAATAAACCTAATGTCACTTACTCATACAAAAACAGTGGCAAAATTATTTTGCTGATCATTGAGAAGTAACTGAGGGGTGTCCTCAGTGACCAAGAGATATTGACACACATATTCCATGAATGAATATGTTAGAAGACCTACTGCTAAAGATGTGACTGGGTGGCTTCAGTATCCACCTGTGTGGCTGTGGGATTGTGGTTCCCTTCAGGAGCTGGAGCTTTTCAGGCCTGAGTATGTCGTTGTATACTGGTGGAAGCAGTGGGACACCAATGCAAGAGTGAGCAGAGGAGAGCAGGGCCTTCAGGCTCAAGAGTGGAATGGTGAGGCAAGAGGGAGCCAGAAGGGCAGCAGGCTGGAGCTGAAGAATGGGTGAGAGAGGCCCTCTGGGCAAAGGGCATTGCTGGCATGGCCAGGGCACCTTCTCAATGCTGCAGCTGGATTTGCGCTGGGCAGCCATCCCTGTAAGCAGGGCTTGGTCTTTGCTGTCATTGGCCTTTTGCCCTTGTGCTCCTTTGGCTGCCTGGAGAGAGGGGTAACCCTGTAAGGAGGGTGAGAGCCCCTGTCTCGACATCTGAGGGGGGCAAATGGAGGTCTGCCAGTCCCCAGCTCAGCCTGTAAGTAGGCCAGGGCTTTCTCCCAGCCCAGCGGCTTTCTGCCTGCTGCTGGCTGCTGGGTCAGAGTGCACGACAGCCTTTGTCCCTGTGCCATCCCTGGAGTGCCTCAGCATGTCGAGGCCCCTGTGTCCTTCCCACAGTGCAGGGGCAGGCAGGTTTGAGGCTTTGCTCCCCCACTCAGTGGTAGGGATGGCTCCCCAGCACATTGGCTGCACAGAACTTGCTCCCTCTTCTGGGACTGTGTTCCCCTCCCCTGTGTTCCCCTTAGTTGGTGTGAGTTTAGGGGTTAGGCCCCCTTTAGAAATAGAGCAGTGTGGTTTAGATGTCCCAGGAGGGAAAAAGGAGCTTTGTGTAGCCATAGGGCCGTCCCCAAAAATCCCCGGGTAGAGAAACAGTCTCGCCTCACCCCTGTCCTGGGCACTTTTCAGTTTAGGGAAATCAATTTTTTCATGCGCTATTTTATACAGTTGAAGAAAAGGATGTCTTCATATTTATTGGGTACAGATTAGGTCCTGATTTTTTTCTTAATACTCAAGCCCATATTTTCTAACTTTTTCTGTCATTTGTCCTTCTAATTTGTGTGCATGATCAGTTCTTACTTTTGCCTATGGGGTTAGTTCTGAATCAGTGGCAAATGACATGGTGATCCCTATCTCCACTGCTGATACTACCTTAATTTTTTCTCAATTCTTCTCACCTCGATTCTGGTGGCTATCATCCAGAGAACTCATATATCTTGGGATTTTCTTCCTTTTTTTATAATAAAAGATAAGCCCATGTTCACTGTGCAATTGCTTAGTCATAACTGTCTAGCTATAGCTACTCATTAAAAAGCATAAGGAAATTTATATTTTTATTCTTTGATCCTTATATTTTTTATCTTTTTTTTATCTTTTTATCTTTATATTTTTATTCTTTATGGGATCAGACCTTGAGGGGGCCAGTATCACTCCCATATGATCAGTAATAAATGTATTTCCTCACGTTCGGTCCTTTTTGCTGGTGATGACAATTAATGAGTGATCTCTCTCTATCTGTATCCTTACCCAAGAGCCTTTTCTTGTATTTTATCTCTGTTTTCCAGCTAGAAAGAGGTGTGATACAGAGGCTTTGGTGAGCCCCTGGGATCTTGCCAGGGTCAGCCTTGGACATCCTCTGCTGCTAGAAGAGTTGTAGGTAGTCATTCTGTTGTATAGAAACACACTGTAAATTTGGGTTTTCATCGTTTTGCTACACAATCATTCTTTTTAAAAAAATAGAGACCGAGAGAGAGAGAATTAGATAGTGAACTTCTGGCAATTTTTTACCATAATAAATAAATGAGAAAATAGTTAATAAGATGTATCTTATGAAAGAGGAAATTAAAGTGTATAATAAAGTATTGTTCCCTTTGCTTTCTTCATAGAGATCTATCCCAGAGAAATCCCTGGAACTCTGAAGCTACAAGTAAAGGAGATTTTAATATATTGTGAATGTACCTAGCTTCTCACGTGGCCATGTGTCCAATTAATGGATTGCTGCATAACATGCAACAGAAGCAACTTTTGTACTCATTACAAGAATAAAAAGAGTAACACGTGGAATGATTCTTCTACTATTTTGAAAGTTTAATGGCAAACAGGAGTTGAAATCAGTGTTCTATATTTCTCTATGGCACAAATTCCACATTGTAGATTTCTTGTATAAATGTGTACTGAGATGATTTGATGGCAATTTGATTTTTTCTAAATTTGAAAAAATCATCTTTTATGGGAAATAAAAAGTATTATTTCTTCTATCACCTTAAGTTTCTTAGTGCTGTAAGTTCTAACATTATTGAGATTTTTTCAGAACCATTTATATTCTTTTAATTACAGTTTGCAAACTTCTAATTGAATTGTACTGATCAGCATATCAAAATGCAGCATACAATTCATAAAATCACCTTTTTTCCCACACTTGTTGATCAATTAAATGTCTAAAAGAAAAGATGATGTAGTATATGTCAACAAATTCAAGGATTACTTCTCAGACTCTTTTGATTCAGTGGCCTTTTATTAGGTTAATTATTTCTAATAATATTTCCAATAATCATTTTGTATTAAATGATTATTAGAAAAGGCATCCTCTTAATTTCATTAAGTATTTACACACTGCTGTATTCATTTGATGCTATCACAGCATTCTGTATTTTTCCTGGGCATTTGTGAAACTTCTGTCTTCTTTCAAAAAGCCAAGCGTATTTCACCATACAGCTTTATACAGACCATAGAATCTACTCCTATAGAATAGTCACTTTTACCCAGTTTTCTTCCGGGATGGAGGTAATGAATTACAGACCACTGATATAAAAATCTATTTTTTTTTTTAAATATGCAAGTCTAAAATATAAGTTTATGATGTAATTTACCTTGAAATGAAATTTTTATGAGTGGAAAAACAGCAGAAAAATAATTACTTTTCGGGATTATTGGGGATTTTTTCTTCTAATAAAGGACTGCATCACCTATAACAGAAAGCTGTTTAAATGGTGAAGTCAGGAGAGACAGGGGGAATTTTGCTATCATGTGATTTAAAATGCTTTAACATTTAGAAAAAAACTTAGCAAAATTCCTTCTCCTTGCAAAAATTACTTTGGTGTGTAATGATTGGTCTCTGCTTGTCTGCATGTTACATTTATTCCTAAACTCAGCTCACACTTTTGAAAATTAAATGCTTTACTCTTTCTGAATGAAAAGCTTTTACAAACCCTTACCTTTTAAACTCTAGACAGACAGAGCTTTGGATGATATCTTTAACTAACATTCTAATATCCATATGGTTTAAATATTATAATTTCTTATGTAATCACATTTCTTTGCATTGTGGTTTTATATTTCTAATTTCCTCTTCCTCTCCTTTGCAAGAGAGTATTCTGTGAAGTAAAATGCCTGAGGATAGAAAATATAATTTCAGAGAATTTAAAACCTACTTCAAACCTACTTCAAGTTTTGAACCAAATGCAAATGAGAGATTACAAGGAAACTTGTCTACCAATTAACCAGGTGTTCAATTAAAAAGAGGGTTACTGAGATAAATGTGTGTGCTTATGTATCTGTGTATACATGTATCAGCAAATATATATATTTTTTAGTATTTTAAAACCAGTAATGAACAATTATTAGGGCTGCTTTTCAGATTTGTAATACTAACTGGAGTTCAAAGCCAGAAAATATTTTAGGAGTGTCTAAGCTGTGTGAAGAAGCCAAATATTTTTCTGGTTCTTTGGTTGCCCTAATGAACTGGAAGTTACTGAGGCTTATTTTAATCATTTGTGACCTGCAACTGCAGATATTAACCAGAATAAAGTGTGCATAATGCGAGTTTCAAGGGGTTGAGGCTGTCTGAAATGGAAAGGAAATTTTGTTACTTAAGACTTTGGCTCAGTGATGTTTAAAATGTATTTATCTCTGCACACAGATAAATGACCCATGAATGAAGTTTGATTTTCACACTGAAGGTGGAGGAGGATCTTGCTGTGCTAGTCATGCACTCCACACTATCTTGTATTGCCTGAGGAATAGGTGTCAGTTGCATACACAGTCTCGAATATCCAGCTATGAATCGCTTAAATGATCAAAAAGAGAAATTTCAACATTTAAATGTCTAATGCCTCAAGACTTTTTTAAAGCCAGTAAGTGTTTAAAATACTTTCACAAAGGGGCTGTCTCATTCTTTAGACATTATTCTTCAACAGATTCCCAAAGCAGCAGGTGGACTGGTAAATGGGAAAGCAGCTTCTATTTGCCAGGGTGGTAACAAAACTGTTTTCTAAAGGAACTGTCAGGTGTGTTCATGTGACAGCAGTTCTGAGGGATTAAGGAGCCTAACATGGTATGTGTTGAAGATCAACCTCCTCCAATACTTGCATCTCAATGCTCAGGAAAACAAGTGACCAAAGTTTGATGCAAAGAGTCAGCATAGAGGAGTTGGAAGGAAGATGGGTTTGACACTAATTACTTGACATTGCATTTGGAATACTGTGTCCAGTTTTTGGCCCCACAATTAAAGAAGGACAACTAAAAACTGGTGCAATTTCAGTGGAGGGCCCCAAGCTGCTTGGAAGTTGGAGCACTCACCCAGAGAGGCTGAGATTCTAGTATTTTTCAGCACAAAAGGAGGCAGTTTCAGAGATCTATAACAGCAGTCTGCTAGTACATAGGTGACTATTATTATTAAGAAGAGAGGACCAGAAACCATAAGCCTACTGAAGTAGAAAAACAAGACACTGGTCATAAATTACAACAAGAAAGGTATAAATGAGTATTTAAAAAGAAAAAAAAATCACTTTGATGATAATTAAGCATTGTGACAGAGTGCTCTGGGAGGTTGTTCTTGGTGTTATAGATGGGTAATATGATAGTTGGCTCTCACAATTAAGAGATGAATATTATATGTATGTATGTTTAGAGATGCATAGTTATATTATTGTAATACGTCCTCCTGTAGTCCTCTTTCCCCTCCCCCTTGTAATAGTCTTTGTAATCAGGGCATTTGGGGAGGGCTGGCTTGTTACTAGGAGGCATGGCAGAACGACACCTGACCTCCAATCAAGATATAAGAAAATACTATCCACCCATGGACACAGAAAAAGAGTTGACTGACAAGACTTTGGGAGCAGCTAAGGGCATGAAAAGCAGAGCTTCCATTTTGTAAATGAGCACGTGGTTGCCAGTCATGAGGGGCGGGCTGCTACTGTTTTTTTTTCCTTATTCAGTGTTTTGTTGTAATTTTTTTAAGGTTAAGTAGACCTTTGAAATTCAAACAGTGAGTGTTATTTCTCACATTGGTGTTCACGAAAAATGATTAGAGAAAGTCCTAAACAGTCTGGTGTGCATTCAAGGTTGATTCTGCTGTGATCAGGCGGATGTACTGGAGTACTCCCATGTTGCCTTCCAACAATAATGATTGTGATTTCATTATTGAAAATCTGTTTACACATAACATAAAGGTAGCCCAAGAATTGGGTGACAGATTTCATATGTCATTTAGAAAATCAGCAGATTAAATTATATGTAAATTACCAATTATTAATGTGTCCACACTTTTGTTAATGACGTTCTGCCCTGCTTTTGTCTGTGTTATCTTGGTTCATGCTTTGGAAAAAGGAATCAGGATCTAATGCTAACAGCCATACATTCCAAATAGATGTGTTCATTAAACTGAGAGTGCTTGGCCACTTATAACTTCAGGTTAGGAGCAGGCAACATCATTTTAATATTGTTTATTTCTTTATGCACTATAGTCCATATGCTGTCATACCTCAGTTATTCAGAATTAAGAAGGCAGAATTGAGTTTGTCTTTGCACAGTTTCTGAAATCCTCTTTGTTGAGAGAACGAGAAAAAATAGGGCATTAAAAGAACCACTTACTTTTCTTCTGCCCCTACAGAATGTGAGGATATCATTCATTTATTTGTGCAGAGATGTGAGGGTGGAGAGAGAACTGAGACCTTATCTTAACTCGAGTAGTGATTTTAAAGACAGTGGGTATTAGCCAGTATTTTGAACAGAAATAATGTTTCAATATATAATTAAAACAAACTTCAAACTACAGTAGAGCACAAATGGGAGTTTTTATTAATTTGTTTGTTTCTTGTGAGGTTTGTTTCTTGTTTTATGTTTGGTTTGTTTTGTTTTTTTCAGTTTAGTTCTGCTTATTTGTTGGTTGGTTGCCCATTTAAAGCTCCTGGTTCTATTTTTGCTCTAATTTCAAGTTCATACAAAACTAATATGCTGGGTATATAGTTCTGCATCCAAACACTTTTTAATTTGGGCTAGAATTTAACTTTTTGAATGTAAAGATAAAAGTAATTTCACCCAAGAACTGACACACTTCAAATTTGTTCACACAACAATGGCAGTGAAGAGCACAAGTGAAAATGGACTTTCAGAGTTTGTAATTACTAACAACTTAATGAGGAGGTTTGTCACTGGAAAGCTTGACTAGGAGCTAAACTATTTTACATTTCAGTGTCAAGTGTCAATTTCCCAGACTAGTTGTGCAATGAAGTTGAGTGTAGATAACGAAAGTCTTCAACAAAAACTCATTAACAGATGCTAAACTGTTGACAGATATTTGCTAAAAGAGATAGGGGCCTCTTTTTGAAAAGGAGAGTATAAACCCCCCCTCCCTTCACTTTACTATGATTTTGAAATTAAAGGGCTCTCAGGCAAAGATATGGGGGTAGCAATTACAGTTTTTTACTGATACATACATACACATATAGATATATGTAATAAGGGAAACAAAACACAACAACAATAACTGCGAGATCAACAGCAACAGAGCAGGAAGCCCAGTGAACAGTTCTCTCAGTTGTGGACACCTTTCCTCTGTGGTGCAGTCACCTGCCAGCCCCCGGTGAGCAGGGAGGAGATGCGGTGACCCCACATGGCTGGAGGGGAGCTGCAGTGAATGGTGTTTGTATCCCAGATGGGAAGGGCGGGGGGGGAGACGCTGCTCACGGATCCCGATGCTCCAAAAGGATGTGCTGAAGTCGGCAGGAGATGCAGGAGAGAGAGAGCGTCCGAGCAGGGAGATTACGGGATCCCACAGCCAAGGAAGGCAGCTCCCTGTGTCGGGATGGCAGGGCGGAGTTTCTAGTGACCGTCCTTCTCCGAGCCCGACGAGCGAGAGAGGCAGAGAGCAGCCCCTACCCCACCTCTCCTTTTCCGATGTTCTTCCCTCTCCCCACCCCCTTCGAGAGAAAGTGTTACCTTAGCTATCTGAGCCTGGGCGTAGCCCAAAATACTTAGCATAACAATGGGAAAAATTCTACAGAAAGGAAAGGGAAAAATTCAATCTCCAACAACTGTTCAGGCTGAATCTTTATGAATGAAGCTCTGTTTAACAGCCCTTCTTAACTGTTTCAGCTATTTTTGAGATAAAAATTTAAATTGTTTGGACACAGCTTCCCAAAATATAAAAATATACCCCACAGTTAAAGAAACAGACAATTCTTTGGGTGAAGCAAAAATCACCCAAGGTGATTCTTAAAAATCAGTCTTTAAGTTTTTAACCCAAATATCTCTCAGCAATTTCCCATTAAATAATGCTCTGTCATTGAAATAACAAAGACCAATTAATGCAAGACCAAAACTACCCAGTTTTCAGTGAAGGGGACAATGCGTTACAGGAAATACAATTATAGGAACTTTGTCATGTTTCATAGAATTATTTATGACTCTGTGCTTTGTGTATTTATCACCAGAAATCCTGAACCTGCTTTCCTGGTGTTTCAATAAGCTGTACTAGTCATGAATCTAGATCATGCAAAGTCCTTGTTGAACATCATCATATGTATAGTACAGGACTGGTAAACTGCACTGTTTGAGCATCTGTGCTCATGCAACTTTTTCTTCTGAACCAGATTTACAGTTCTTAAATTTGCTATAATCAGAAATTAAGCTCAGCAGCACCCAGTTCTTCTGATCTCTGAGGATCAGCTGGAGTGGAAGGGGGTTTATTTTCTGCTAAATTCTTATACCCATAATGAAACACCCTGAAACTTTTAATCTTCCCTGTCAGAAGCTGTCGAACACATTATTTGGTAGAATTTACCAGCATCCTTAAGAATGACAACAGCTTTTCCAACCTTTCAAGTTTCATACGTCTTTTATATATGACAGTCTGAGAAGTGATAACTGTTGTCCTCATTTCATTCACCAGATATGAATGTCATACTTCTTAGTATTTTTAAGTTTTGCCTAATCTTACCTAGGTTCTTATGTGACTACTCCTTGTTGAGTTTTAGTTTATAATCTGTTATTGTTCATGTTACTTCTAATGACCAGATTGTGTAATATGTGTAATAACAGGATATTCCTCAGTTTCTGTGTTTAACCTAAGCCTTTATTTAAGTGTACTGGTATGAAATAATGCATCCTCTGTTCATTTTTCATGAAGTAAACAAACTAATTCTTATGATTGCTTTTGCAAAATGTTTTTATGCTTTCAAAACATTGCACACTGTGTCTTTGTATATTTTTAAAAATGTAAATTTTACATTTGTATTTACTTTTGTGTCCTTTTTTTTTAACATTTTACCATTAATTCTCCAGGAAGTCTCATTCTTTTCAAACGAATCACCAAGTGCTGTTTTCTGTCACAGTGCAATGCAAATCAAAATAAACAGCAGGAGCACATAACTTTTTTTTTTATACTTCTGTGTTGTTAACAGTTTCTCTTTGAAGTATTTTTCCTTATTTGTAAAATCTGTGACATTAATAGAGCATTACACTACATATGACGTTACATATGACTGTACTGTGAGCTATGAATCCCACTGAAATAGAGGGATAAAAGCCACAGGAAACATGGTGTCTCAGTTTATTCTTTAAAATAAAGGCAGACTCTCAAGGATGTTATGCTGTAAATTGTTGCCCAGAATTGTTGAAGTAAGACATGATGCTTCTTTTTTGTCTTTTCTCATATTCAGGATGAAGAGAGAAAATAAAAAGTAGCAATGTTAGGTATTAAATATCAATCTTAGTGATGATTTAATGGGAGGGGGAGCTTTCAGATGAGATAGAAGAGATATGTATTTGTGGGTTGGCAAGCGCCCAAAGTGTCACAAGGAGGCACTAGGCAATCACGTACCATTGATCGGGAATTTCTTTTACAATCTGACTCCAGGGTAATTTTGCTCTCTCTGTTACCTTTTAAAAGTCTAGCTATATACCAGTATCTACTCTAATATTAATGTGGTATTTTCTTTCTAGTTAGTTCAGAGATATTCTTTCTTCAATAGACATTTACATAAATAGACATTTACTTAAATAGACATTACAAAATACATTTGTAAGCATATTTTGAGTTTCCAACATACAACCTAAAGACCAACCAAACCAGCCAGGAAGTAACTGTTTTGCCCCTCTGTCAAATCTTGAGTCCAAACATAAATAGAGGGGGTTTTTTTAAACAAGATTCCCACATTCTCTAGTTTTAATTCAGCCTATTATAAAGGGGATTTTTAATTATGTGTTATACTTCTCATAATATCCACGTATTTGTACCAGCACAGCTAAGCAGTAATAAAGATGAAACTATAATATAGACAATATGTTAAAATTAGTTACCTTATAAATAGTGTTTGTTTTAAAGTGTTGTTTAACCATTTCTGAGAGGATTGCATTTCCATAATGTGTCAGAGATAACATTGTGTGAACACTGTACTCATATCCCAACCAGGGAAGAATAATCTCCCAATGACAACACCTGCCTCAATGTCCCATTCGTGCTATTGTCCCAGTTTGACCAGGAAACATTATATGAGATCAAATTAAAGAAAGAGAACACCACTCACAAACAACAAATGAAATACCATATGTTTTTAGACAATTGATAAATAAAATATGTGCAGATATGTTTCTGTAGTGGTGTGTTCACATCATCAAGTTCTTCTGGGGAGCTGGGTACTTTTTAGCTGCAAGTTCACTTTTCCTCCAGGAGTCCATACCAGATCCAGCACTGAGAAACTGAATATATAAGGAAATTCTAAAAAAATGGAATTTTTTTTCTTGCAAAAGTTTCATACAACATTCAGTATTTATGATATTTCAAATAATAGTTTATTTTTTAAAAGTTGAAAATATTTTTGTAGTGGAAAATATGTCCAAAGTAATAAAAATTTTAAATTGTTCAAGAACTGCATTTTTCATTACTATGCAAATAATTGTAAAATTAAGGCATCTTTTAATTAATTTTCATAAATTTTGCTGTTGATATTTAAATGTAAGTTTAGCAGTTTTTTGCAGCTGCTGCTCTGAAGTGCATAATAAATCTCGTAAGAAACAGAAGTGCCTTGGTGGTAACTGGGAGACTCAACATTTTTAAACTGTGTTTCTTTATTCATGGGGTGATTCCAGCATGCATGGTTTCTGATTCAGTGGTGTTTCTTACCTGCATGTTAGAAATCAGTTTTCAACAGAGCTAATTTCAAATTTTCACTTTTGCAAACCACATACACAGAGAAACCTGAGTTCACTGCCAAGACTGCCAGGTTTTTTTAGGAACTGTTGCTCTAAATAGGTGTATTGATTTCAGAGGTATTTAAGAGGTATAGAACATTTATCCTTGATCAAACCCATAGTTTACATTTAATTACTGTCTTTTTGCTGAAAACATATAACCTTAAATACCCAATTCTCCGCTTCTCTTTTTTTGTTAAATGTGCTCAATACTGTTGAACCCATCTTCTGCATGTTTGATGTATAAAGAGATGAATATAAAAAGGACATAATAAATCACTAGTGACAGGTTCAAGAGAACCCAGTAGTTGTTATTAACTGAATGCTAAATGAATATGGTTAAGAATATAAAAGGTTAGTAAGAATATATAGGTATATAATGGTATATAAGAATATAAAAGGTTAATAAGGTATTATTCCTCTGAACTTCATGTAACCTTTGCAATTCATTTGTAAATTTTGATAAAAATTTAGTACTGGCTGTGTCACATCAAAATCAAAACAATGGAACTGCAGTCAGTTTCTTTTTTTGGTGTTTATCTGGTCTGTACATGCTTTTTTTCTTAACTCAAGTGAAGCCAAACTTCAAAACTTATGTGTTTCCTTCAAGAGACAGCACCTTCTGCTGCTGCAAACAGGCATAATGGGCTTTAGACCCAGTTTTAATTACCTAAATTTGGTATACCCTACAGGGTGAAATGCCCAAGTTCCCATTTCACTAAATGGAGAGGTAGACTCAACTCAGTCACACTGGTCCAGCCCCAATCTTTCCATAAAGGTGTGGGTCTTTTGTTCATCCTTTTTTCTTCCAGTTCTGTGCAAATGTCTCAGATATCATGAGGGCATTTCACAAACTTTTAGATTATACCATTTAGGCAAACATCTCAACCTAATGTAAAGAGAGCTTGAGCATTGGGCAAATGTGCAATCATCCTCACACAAACACCTCAATTTTATGTAATTTGTATGAACTGATTCTCCTTTCTTGAGGTCAAAGCTGTTTTGCTTTGGATTTCAGTTCTTAAAGTCCAGGATGTGTTTTATCATGAGGTCTATCAACTGAGAACAAGTTATAAAAATTACACAAAATGTTTTTGGGCCAAAATTTTTGTTCAAAGAAATAAACAGTGGGAGGTAAAGACCATCCTGTCCAAAGATCAATTCCTTCTCAAGATTTGTAGGTTTTTTCATATTTTGAATGCTGGAGAAAAGAATCTGCATTTTTTTCAGACATCATTTAAATCCTAATTGATTCTATTTCTCTTCTGCTCTTTTGAGTATGGGCGAGTAGAATAGGAGAGACCAACTAATTTCTTGACTAGAAAAATTACTCTACAAACAACACACTCATCAAACAGGGACCTGCACTTCCACCTCAACCGAGTGTTCTAATGGTAGGATACCAGGTGAAAAAGTAAAATTTATCACGAATAATGTCCATGAAATCTTAAAGGCAGAGGTATTCTCACTGAACTTTTTATCAATGCATTAACTTCCTTTTCAAACTTCATTACTTTTTATTATTAACACATCGTGCTCCTGGGTAGTTCCAAGAAGGGTTCTTTGACTTATATTGAAAAGCGTTTCAGCATTGGACAGAATCTCTGCACTTTGCATTCACATTCTTCTGCCTCGTATTTTCCTTTTTCTGACTAGAACTCCACTTTAAAAAAATGTCATACAAACATTTATTTACTGATATTAAGTCACAACCAGCTATTTAACAAGTTATTGCAGGATTAAACCATGTTTCAGATACCCAGAAAGGTGCCTGTTCTTCTAAACACTGAAAGTTAACATAAAAGCTTCTCATGGGTAACCTCCCTGTATTACAAGGGGAAATTAGTTTCAGTTTAAAAACTGAAGAAGTTTTTCAACAAAGGCAGTAATGAAGCATGTCTTTCTCTGACTGTCCATTTCATATCTGAATTGCGATGTTATATTTTCCTATGTTAAGTTTCTTATATTCTCCTATTGCAACATTTTAAGCTATCTTCTGTATTCCTTTCTGGGATTCTGCCAGTTTTATACTCGGTAATTTGGCCAGTTAATAAGAAGGGCTGATTGCCTGTCTGTCCTCTGCTCTTGGCCTCTGTTTAAACTCCACAAAACACTTCACCTCACAGCAGCTGATGTCAAACCAGTGACTGTGACCCTGTACAGGCTCCGTGGAAATTCAGTGTTTTACAGCCATGGTTTTCTGACCAATCTTGTAAATGTTCAGTAGATTTCCAGATTTTGAGGGAGAGAAAAGGAATGGAGAAACTGGATAAGAATGTATCTTTATATTCTAATACATAATAATTATGGGTGCATAAGTTCTATTTTCTTAAGATTGAAGACCTAATCTTACAAAGTCAAATTAAAAAAAAAAAGTGTAGTAAAATGTTTTTAAAATCTTATTCAATATTGGAAGCTCACATACCTCTGAGGAAATTTATTCTCTTTCCTTCACTCTTCTAGAGGCTCCATTTAGCTTCTCAGCATTCAGTTTTAGTTATGAAAACAACTGTTTCAGATTACATAAAAATGTGTGTTCCTAACCAAGTATGCATTGAGTCCAATATTCTTTTACTATGACTCAATTTTTTTGACCTATATAGATCTGATGTTAAATGCTAGAAATCAGAATCTTAGTACTGGAGACTAAATTTGCTCTTAGTTTTACTCAATTAGATAGATGTCTTTTTTTCTTGACTCATCTGTGGGGAAAAAGTTATCCACATGTCTTGCAATATGCATGTATTTGTCTTTCAACAATAATTTGCATCAACCTGTTGAATACTTGACGGCAGCAGGAGAACACATTAATGTAGACTGAAACGTCTTAGCTTTACATAATACAACGTTCTTGTGAATAATTCATTAAGTTACCAGGCAGGGACAATGCCATGAGACTCACATGACTAGCCACTCCATGTAAAACGTTAGCAGTAAATGGCTGAAGCAAATGCTCACATGCCAAAAGGCAGGAGTTCATGTATGTTCGGTTGGGGTAGACTTTTGCAGTTAGAGTACTGCAAGCAAGCAATATGACAGAAAGCAGCATTGTGCCAATGGATGAAATGTTAATTAACTATCTCTTGGAAGAATTTCAAAACCAAAATATTTTTGGCCATACTTTCAGCACTCATCAGGTGAGGTGTCTGCTCTTGCACAGAAAACTTTTCAACTTTAATTTCTAGCTAACCTTTGGTGTTGGGTACAATTTGAATCAATAAAAATTGAAAGCAAGATTATTTAGATAATACTCAGTTCCTGGAAAATACAATTTATTGTCATCAGCAATAATTAGTTTCACTAGCAATGTGTCTGCAGATTTACTTTTCTCACTAGTATCTGTTGCAGACATTTAACATTTATTTGGACTTCACATAATGAAATAGGGTAAGTAGTTTGTAAATAATTATTTAACCTACTGGAGATGACATTGCTGAAATATTCAGTCAACATAGCGTTAAAACTGGGGACAAATTTATTGTATGCTCCAAATCTGTCATTTTGCTGTGTGACTAAAGGACTCATAAATTGAAGACATAATAATAATAAATTGAAGACATAATAATAATAATAATAAAGACTTTGATAAATGTGGTTTGGGGAAAGGGAAAATTATTCTCTTTAAAAGAAGTTTGTTCACTCAGAGAATATGCCAACTATTATGAACAAAGAGAAAGGTCGCAATTATCTATCTTAGCCTTTTATAAAGTTTTGCATTACTCTCACATTTCAGAAATTAAATCAGCAGCAAAGTCACTAAGAGACTTTAGAGAGTTTCTAATACTATTGAATTGAGAAAGGAGTGGGAAAGCCAAAAACTTTTCCTAGATTACTGTCACTTCATCTCTACAAAAATGAAAATGTTTTCTTCCAATTATTTTTCCTACCATCCCTTTTACTGTCCTAAACGTCAAAAATAACAAATTAAAACTTTTGCAAATTTCAAGAAAACTGAATGGAGGAACAAAAAGCAGGAGGTGTGACTGATAGAATGATCAGAGGAAGATATACCCTCTTCCACACAACAATCCATACAGAGGGTAAATTTTTCAGCATCAGGTAAACCTAT